TTCAACTCCCAGAATTCCCCAGCCAGCATGTGCTGGCTGGGGAATTCTGGGAGTTGAAGTCCACACACCTTAAAGTTGCCAAGGTTGGACACCCCTGACTTACATGAATGGACAGCTGGAAGAGAACCAGAAACAAGCAAAGAGTCACGTAAAAGTCTCTCTGTGGTGGACAGTGGAGAAATTTGCACCGTAGGCTTCATTATACGGACAGGTTCAAAAGGAATTGCTGTCCTGGTTATTGTATGCTCCTTGCCTAAAGAAATAGATTTCTTCCTCACCAAACTGCTTTTTTTTTTACACACCTATTCGCATCCATGTTGTCCATGCAATAAGAATTAATTTGACAACAATGAGTATGATCAATATGAATGCCACTGAGTAAGCTACATGAATTTACAATGGAAGCCCCATTTATTTCTGCAGAGGATTCCATAGCTTACCAGCAACCCTACGGTTATTCACAAAGAATCATGGAATCCTAAAGCTGGAAGTGACCTTGAAGGTCATCTAGTCCAGTGGTCATTAACTGGTGGGCCAGGGACCACTGGTGGTCTGCAAGAAAATTTTGGTGGTCCATAGAAAAATGTCCACCCCCCAAAGCAATTAATCCAGGCTGTGTGAGAACACAAGGCTGTGCCACCCACATGGCCCTCCACCCACTGGGCCCCACCCTTCAGCCAAGTGCAAACCTTACCTTGAGTAGAACCATGCGAGCTGGAACTGGAAGGTAAGAGCAACGGCTGGGGAGGGAAATCCGCCCAGGGTGGCTTGCTGACGTTGGTGGGAAAGTCGGTCCCATATTCCAGAGCTGCAGTAGTCACAGGACTGGCCCTTTGGTCATCCCAGAACAGCTCCTCCAGTCCACGGCAGGCCGGTGCACCCGGGAGGAGGAGCAGCTGCTCCGGGATAACCAAAGGACCAGTCCTGTGACTATTGCAGCTCTGGAATACGGGACCGACTTTCCCATCAATGTCAGCAAGCTACCGCCAGTCAAAATTCATATTAGTGGTCCACAGGATTTAAAATTATGAGTTTGGTGGTCCCTGAGGACCAAAAGTTTGCCGACCCCTGTTCTAGTGTGGGGCCCAAGGCAAGAGTCCTTATGCCATCCTGGACAAGGATTTGTATATAGTGCTCCTTCTTCAACCAGCTAGTTGGTTTATTGGAAGCCTGTTTAATGTTAAACGAAATAATAAACCATTTTGGAACAATCTGGTCAGATTTAGACCAAGTCAGATTTCAAGGAAAATTTCAAGATTTCTTTGGAAACATTAGAGATGGATTTGTTTTTCTTCTTCTAATGTAATGGAGCCTCGATGTTCTTAACCAGGAGCTTTGCTACATTGCAATGTTATAAGATCCCTAGGGAAATCTTGTCTTGAATTTGTAAAAATAAAATAAAACCAATATTTCAGTTCTGCAATTGGTGGTTTCTTTAATAAATTGTATTTATTCCTTGGCTTTATAGATTTCAGTTGAATCATTTTAACAGTTCCTAATGCAAGATGCAGTAACCTTTTTTTTCGCCATCCAACATCTTCATTGGTATTAAATGCTACATTCTTGTGCTGTTTATTTCATAGATCATGGAATCTTTTGGCAACTCACCAGATTCCTCAGAGAAAACAGGATCTTCGGTCACTTTCACAACACTCAGGGTGGTGTATTTCCTCCACCACCCCTTACCAAGCGATATTATTAAGATTCCTAAAGAGGGAAGAAGTACTGTGCCAACTTGGACAAAATTAAGTACAAATATTACATGTCAATGAGTATAAAATACATCGGTTGCACCAGAAAATACCTAGCAAAACTGTAGTAATGATACAAGGTGAATGAGAAGAAGAACCTCATTCAGGAGGCTGAATATACCGGTTCTAGATCCCAACGATTTGCACACTTGCCCCGGCTTGCACACTCAGCCTCGTGGGATGCTCGCCAAGAGAAGCTCCATCTCAAGAGCTCAGCTTCACCACACCTTCAAAGTCTCTTGGTCAGTTACAATCCGGCATTGTCACTCCTAGGCACAAGCAGCGTGTGGCTAATGATGGGCAATGGCAAAGCAGAAGGCCTCGGCGTGTTGTTGGAACTTAAGCTGCCACGGCCAGGACTTGATGTTTTGGCTCCAAGGTCCAAGTGTTTGGAAAGAAGTATCAAAAGTGTCTTAAAAACCTTTATAAATAGATGCAAAAGTTACTAAAAGTCTCGGTATAAAAACAGCAGCAACTATTCCCTTTACACTCGGGAGGCAGCTGTGGAGGAATAGGAGTTTGGGCCAACGGTAGGGTTTGTCCCAGGCCAACAGGGAAGCACAGCCACCAGGAGGAGAAGTCCTCCGGAGAGCACACACAGGCCACTGAAGTAGAAAGCCACGTCATAACAAGCAGTCCAGTCATAAAACCAACCTGAAAGAGAACACAAAGAAATGCCAGAATCAGATCCAAACCCTCTTTATCTCCCACCCATCCCTGCCATTAAAGAATATTCCTTCTTCCATAAAAAGGCCACACCAGAGCACAACCAGACCAGGGAAGGCATGATGGCAGTCCTCCAATATTTGAGGGGCTGCCACAGAGAGGAGGAAGGGGTCAAGCTATTTTCCAAAGCACTCCAAGGCCAGACAAGGAATAATGGATGGAAACTGATCAAGGAGAGGTTCAACTTGGAAATAAGGAGGAATTTTCTGACAGCGAGAACCATCCACCCATGGAACAGAAGTTGCCTTTGGACATTGTGGGAGCTTCATCACTGGAGGCTTTCAAGAAGAGACTGGACTCCCATTGGTCAGAAATGATGTAGGGTCTCCTGCTTGGGTTGGGGGTTGGCCTTAGAACTAGACAAGGTCCCCTTCCAACTGTGATTATATGTCAAATTTAGTTGCTCAGGAAACTGCCAGTGAAGGATGCCAGTGTTTTGAACCCAAGTGATTGACAAGCCACAATTGCAGCCAATGGGTCTACCCTTGCCGGGTGTTGTATCACAGAGGTGGAAAGGATTACTGTATGGAACACAAACCAGGATACGAGTTTTTAAGGCTACTGAGAACACACCACTCTGCTTTTCCATTGTAACAGAATAATGCCACAACTCCACTAGCAGGCGGCCATTTTTGAAAGGAAGGAACAGCATCTGGCTGAAATGCTGACTTACCTACGACTGGGGGTCCAAGGCTGTTCCCAAGCCCAGCGAAAAACATCAATATGCCATAGGCGTGGGTCAGTTTCTCGATCCCCACTGTCTGGGTTGTGACATAAGGGAAAATCGACCAGTTTCCCGCCAGGAACCCTAAAACCCCCGAAAGGATTGCCAGAGTGCTGTAGCTCTGGGCAAAGGGGATTAACACCAGGGCTCCCGCCATCAAGATCAACGTCAGGACGTAGAGATACAAAGCGTTGATCCAGTCTACATCCGCCAAGGCGCCCAGGGCCAGCTTCCCCACAGCAGTCATAATGCCGATGATGGAGATCAGAGGGACGACGCTGTCCCCCTCCGTGATATTTGAGCTCCTCGCCACGTCCTCCATGAGCAAGGAAGGAGGGAAGCTGCCAACGTCGAAGAGGAAGATGGCAAGGAAGAGGGCAGAAAAGACTTTGTTTTGAAAAAGGCTCAGGGTGTCCTCCCAGTACTTCAAATACAGGCCCCATTTCTGCTTAGCCAGTTGTTTGCACAGGTAAGTTTGTTCTGCCACTTTCTTCGGGTAGCTGTCTGCCTCTCTTGAGGCGGCCAAGAGCAGCTGGCTGTGAACTGGGAGTCCGTTCGCTTGGTGGTTGCTGAGTGGCCCCTGGTTCTCCCCTTTCCCCTCACTCTGGGCCTTCTCGGGTGTGGTGGCGTGTTCTTCATGGGAGGCCTTCTCTTTTTTGAGATAAAGGAGGTATTGATCCGGAACCTTCTCCGGATCGGGCTTCTGGACCACCGGCAGAGGCCTCATCAGGCTGCCACAAGGTAGGATGTTTAGAGAGAGAGCCCCAGTGATCAGCAGGCAGCCATCCAACCCATACAGTTCAATCAGCTCTTTCTGTAAGGCAGCATAGATGAAAAGGCCAATGCTGGAGCCTGCAAGAAGAGAAGAGCCGGTCAGTAGATGCGTGCTGCCGTCTGCTGTGCCTTGGCTGCCAAGTGAATAAATGTGATGTAAAAATTATGTAAAAAGCTGCAGAGCAAAGCAATAATACCCAAAGCAGAGGTGGGATTCAGCAGATTCTGACCAGTTCTGGAGAACCGGTAGCAGAAAGTTTTGAGTAGTTCGGAGAACTGGCAAATCCCGCCTCTGACTGGCCCCGCCAACCCCATCTCTTCTCTACCTCCCAAGTCCCCGCTGATTGGCTGGGTCTTCTTTGGTTGCCCTGCACAGGAGAACAGAGCTGGAAAGTGGGGTAGGGATAGAAAGGGGATTTTGCAGTATCCTTCCCCTGCCATGCCCACCAGCAGAACCAGTAGTAAAAGTTTTTGAATCTCACCACTGATCAAAACACCAATTTTCCAGAAAGCAATAGCAATTAGACTTATATACTGCTTTGCAGTGCTTTTACAGCCCTCTCTAAGCAGTTTATAGAGTCAATCTATTGCCCCCAATAATCTGGATCCTTATTTTACCGACTTGGGAAGGACGGAAGGCTGAGTCAACCTTGAGCCTGGTGAGATTTGAACTGCCAAATTTCAAGCAGCCAGTAGCCAGCAGAAGTAGCCTGCAGTACTGCACTCTAACCATTGCACTACCGTGGCGCTCTCTCTCTCTCTCTCTCTCCCTCTCCCCCCCCTTCTCTCTCTTCCTCTCTTTAATTACCCTTTCAAGATCTAGCTCATCCAAAGGACCAGCAGCGCCTTCATGATAAAATTATGGAAGTGGAACCTGAAACTGATCAGAAGTAATAGTTAACCGTGATAAATGCAGACTGACTTTGGGCATTTGGAGGATATAATCTCAGTCAACCAAACTACTGCATAAAGTCATTCCAGCCTGAGATCAATATCAGGTAAAAGAACCTACCTGTGGAAATGAGACCCAGTGCAAAGCCTCTACGTTTGTCAAAGTACTGGCACGTGATTGTGATGGTAGCTGTGTACAATAAGCCACATCCAAGTCCTACAGGCATAGAAAAGCATATGATCAGTGCCCCAGAACTCCTGGCTAATATTTCTTTTTTCTTTTTAATATATTTTTTATTGTTTTTCAGTATCAAACACAGTGCGGTTGTTCTGGCATCACTCTACCATACATACAAAGATATTACTAAATCATTAACATTCATATTATTAGTACAATATTCACAATATGGGTCCATTTGTCGTAATTATTTTTGTTCCGACCTTCCCCTCTCTTCTGCAACAATTGATAAAACTTATTCCAAGTATCATAATATTCTGACTCCCCCTTATTTTTCAGTTCTAGAGTTAGTCTATCCAGTTCTGCACAAGCCAGAATTTTTCTTATTCTCTCTCTTTCTGGTGGTATGTTTTCATTCTTCCAATATTGTACATAGACTATTCTCACCGCTGTCAGTTTGTGTATTATTAAATAAGTTATGCCTTTGCTGTGGCTTTCGGTCATTATATTCCTAAAAGGAATAGTTCTGGCTTAAATTGAATATGTTCTCCTGCCATTTGCTCTACCCATGTCTGTTGCCAATATTTCATTGCTTGATTACATGTCCACCACATGTGGAAGTATGTACCTGGTCAATCCTTACACTTCCAGCATTTTGGTGATAAGTTTCTAAACATTTCAGCAAGCCTTGCTGGAGGAAAATGCCACCTGTAGAACATTTTGTATACATTTTCCTTGTATGATGTAGCTAAAGTTAATTGCCTTTTTTTTCCCCTAGAGAATTTGCCGTCTAGCCAATTCAATGTTACGTCTGAAATTTTTGGCCAATGCCACCATCATCTGTTCCTCCAGCTTATAGTCTAATAGGGACTAATATATTTAATTTTCAATGAAAGGACACAGGGAACCATTCTGGAGGGTTCCCTAAACACCTGCACTGTTCACCTGAATATCAGGCAAATTCTGGCGTGGGGTCTTGGGAATTCAGCCACCCACCAGGGAAGATTAGGGTCCAGGTTGAAAATCCCCTTTCTAGAAGATGCCTTTAACTCCTGAGCATTTGATTCTCTTGCTATCTGGTGGGGACAAAGGGGACCCTGTGAATTTCCTTACCAACAATAATTCCATAGGAACAAAACAGAAAGTAGATATTGGGAGCAAAGCTGCTCATCATCAGGCCTCCTGCAACCATGAAGCTACTGAAGATGGTCACTGGCCGTGCACCAAAAGCGGAGACACAGGTGCTGCAGATGGGACCTTCAGCGGGGGACAATCGGGGAGGAGAGAAAAACACGGGCACAATCTTATTTCAAATGTTTAAAAGGAGCCGGTCGAGAGATGGGTTGACCTCTCTTAAATCCAAAAAGAAGATCTCTCCCTCGAGGTAGTTTAATGATTATTGCATCCTTTTTACACCAGGAATGTTCTACCACCAACTAAGCCTCTGAGGACCACAATGGAGCTGTGGTGGAGCTGCACCATGCCAAACTATGCCAAGCCCCCTCCGCTCTGTGTCACAGGTCAGCAAGGATATTGCCCTAAAGGGAATTATCTGGCTAATGCTCAGGTAACTGTGCATATATATAGGATTATCATCTATGGCAGTGGTTGCCAACTGGTGGGCCACGGCCCATTGATGGGCTGCAGAAAAATGTTGGTGGGCTGCAGAAGAAATGGCCCCCGAAAGAAATTAATCTGGGCCGCACAGTTCTCGCGTCTCCCAGCTCTTCGAGGAACCCTGGAGTCAGGTCCCTGAGATGAATGTGCCAACCAGCTCCCACACACAGTAGCGGCGGCAACAACAGTCCCCTCCCCCGGCGCCCACTGTCAGCTCTCCCCATTAATTCTCCAGCTTTGGATTGTTCCCGTCTCTCTCTCTCTCTCTCTCCTTCCCCCTCCCCCCACATGCCCACCTGCAGGTAGGCAGGGAAAGGGACATGGGGCCTTGTGCAGCTCTCAGCTCCTCCAGCCCTCGCTGCCTCTCCCAACATCAAAGCCTTGGAGACGCTGCGGCGTCTCCAAGGCTTAATATAATTTTTTTAAAAAAAATGTTATGCTAAATATATTATCTTTTTTTAAAAAAAAATTCATATTAGTGGTCCGCAGGATTTAAAAGTATGAGTTTGGTGTTGGCTGAGGTCCAAAAGGTTGGCGACCCCTGATCTATGGGCTTAACCAATAAACCCATCACCCAATACACACATGAGCAACTGGTTCCTCCCACTCTCTGCCTGTCAGCAGGTACAAAACCCTCCATATATTTTTCCTTCCCGCCAAGTGTTTAGATAAACTCCCATTTGCACCATCCGATGTCCTGTGTGCCTTCCCAGGGACCAGTCCAACTGAGGACCGCGAGGCTGATTTTCGATTCAGAGGACTGTAGACTTCTTAAACTGAACCAAACCATATGAGGAGATGGCACGATTTAATTTGCAACTCTGCAACAATTTCTGGGGGGGGGGGGGGGGGGGACAAAAATTCCTTCACTTCCAACTGTCCCCCTTCCTCCTTTGTGGTATCTCTACTCTTGCTATCTTTCTCCACCGCTTTGCATGAATTAAAACAGCCAGAATTGACTGTAACAGAAATCAGGAGGTGGAGATTGTCTCAAGGAAACTCAACAGAGAGTTGATGGGAGGATAGACGAAGAGTGAGATCTGGGACCCAGTGACCAGTTTTAAGCCTGTTAGAAGTTTCAGTTTCCAGCCTAATGTATCATTTTAATTTTAAAAAAACTCAAGACCAGTGATGGGATTCAGCCAGTTTGCACCAGTTCAGGAGAACCGGTTGTTAACTTTCTGTTCACCAGTTTGGTGAACTAGTTGTTGGAAGAAATCATTAGGGCAGAGAACCGGCTGTTAAATTATTTGAATCCCACCACTGCTCAAGACCAAAGGTAATCCGTAAAACAGAGAGCCACTAAGTAGGTCTTGTGCATTTCTGTGCCTTTTCATGACTTGGCACCAGGAGCCGACGGCTAAACAAGGTTCACCACTCTTACAACGGCAAACACCTAGAACTGTTCATGGCTTTGATCTGTTCATCATGGATTATGCTTTCCCATGAAAGGATTTTGCAGCAGGGAAATGAGGTGGGGGAGGACACTGAGTGAGTTAGATGGGCGGGAGCACCACCCTAAACTCCCTAGGGCCCATCAGCTTGGGATGGACAAGCAGAAGAAGCTGAAGAAGGGCCACCTTTGTTCTTTGAAGCAATGCTGTCCATGTCTGCTGACTTTGGGGAAAGTGTCTTCAGGTTTCTGCAAAGCCAATTTGTCCAGGAAGGAAGGCGATGTCCATGCATGATGAGGCAGAAGCAGTCCAACAACTGCAACACAGGGGAGCTCCAAGGAAGAACTTTCCCTTGTTAAAAGTGGAGTCCCTTCATCCACCCCTCCTGTCTTGGGTCCTCTTGCCTGAACTTGAGGCTCAGAGGGGTTTAGTTCTGGGAGTTGAAGTCCCCATGACGGAAAGTTGCCATGGTTGGGAAGCCTTGCTCTAGGGCCTCATGACCTTCCCAGGAGAAGCATCTCTTGGGGACCTTAAAACCCCAGCTCCCAGCCTTTCTCTACCAAGTCTACCAAAGAATCTGAAGGATAACAAGAAGCAACGGATGGGAACTAGTCAAGGAGAGAAGCAACCTAGAACTAAGGTGAAATTTCCTGACAGTGAAAACAATTAATCGGTGGGACAGCTTGCTTTCAGAAGTTGTGAGTGCTCCATCACTGGACGTTTTTTAAGACACTGGACAACCGTTTGTCTGAAATGGTACAGGGTTTCTTGCTTGAGCAAGGGTTGGGCTAGAAGACCTTCATGGTCCCTTCCAATTCTGTTATTCGGTTATTCTGTTGAGTGGAGGCAACTTCCTTCCTCTCTCAGCGTTTTACAAGCAACGAAGGCTGATGTTCTTCTGAGAGTCACACTTCTCTCTGCCACTCATGGGGAGGGTCTATTCCCTCTCTTTTTCTTCTCCCTCAACTGTTCTTCCTGCTTTTCTATTCTTCTGTGCTCGAATTTTAAACCTACAGGCTTCCAATACATTCGCGTTTCCACTTTTGAATCTATTTTTACCACAAAGCAGTTACAAAAAGACCAGCAACCATCTCCTTTGCTGTGACTCACACAACTATCCAACAAGCCTTTGTATTTTTTAACACCTTTAAGGTATGCAAAGTCATTGTGATACCCTTATAAAATACACCAAGGTCAAAATAATTATTTTAGATACCAGAGAAGTTATTATCACTGTTAGGAATATAAGTCACCTAACAGGTATTTGGGATGGAAATATATAAACCAGGATAAACATTTTAAAACTGTCTCTTTAAGAGCATGCCAAAAACTGCAATTGGGTGTGGTTACTCAAGCAGCCATAAGATGGAGCCAGAAACCTGGGTTGTTTAGCCTTAGTTTCAGAAGAGTCTCAGTGAAGTGAGTGAGTCTCTATTTCCTTCTGTTGGAAAGTATTGCAGTTCCTCCATTTTTCCTAATTGACTGCTATTTCTGGATTTGATGTAAGTCTGTTACTGAACTGTTTTTGACACTGGACTTCGTTATTGGATTATCCCTGGATGAAAACTGGCTGATTTTACCTGTGAATGACCTTGGACTGCTTGTTTTGGACTTTGCTTAACGTTTCTGGAAGTAAAAACCTACATTTACTGTACAGTGTATCTGTGTGCTGTATATGTGTACTATTCAAACACTACTATCAAATACGTCTCCCTGTATGTACTCATTCTCCTAACGGGGAATTACCTCAACAATCACCTCCAATGGGTATTGTCAAAAATCACCTCTTATCAGCCCTGCCCTGCATTAAGGAAATTTGCATATAGATACAATTCTGCCAGATCGTTTATTCAATCTCTTATTACTCAACTCTGTTCTACAAATAGAGAAGCAATTATTGTTTCTCCTGTAATCTGCATTTGTATATCTCTATTTTTTAGACTGTAAAGTTTTAAAAGCATTTTCCTTCACTGCTTCTCACACATGTATTTAAGCTTGGCTTAAATAAATACATTATCATCATCATCATCACTATAGTTTTTTTTTATAAAACAAAAAAGACAAAGTAGTTTACGATAATTAAAGTAATATTTAAAAGCAATTGAAAACAAAAATCCCATTATTAATCCCTGTGCTCCCCAATTTCCTTACAAATGTCTGTCCTGCAGAATTTTAGAGGACGGTTTTGGAAGTAAAAACAGATTATTTTTTATGAGCCATGTTGGATATTCTTACATTTTATAGTTCTTTGTCCTTCCACTGAATTGAGTCAGGTTAAATGCAGGCATGTTGGAGAGTCAACAGCTTATAAAAACCCAACTCTGCAAATGCTAACTTCTATTTTAATTCTTTTTGAAATTAGTGTAATTTATTCCTCTTGTGGTGAATACACAGAACTGAACTATCTAATTTGCGCAATCCTGGCCTTCAATTTTCCCTACACAAAAGATGCTGTGTGTGCAAATATTACAGTTCTAGAGATTCCCTATTTCTCGCATAGTCTACTCTAATATGTAAAGTTAGAAACTTGCCAAGATACAATAGCTGTTTCTATGATTAGAATGGAAATATATATTTGTGTTATTTTTCAATCCTAACTGCAGGAAAGGGGCTGCAAATTTTAGCCATGGGTGCTTCAGTTATTATGTGGCTCTCAGAAAGTGAAAAACCACAAAATTGTTCCTACTCTTAACTGCCTGCTAAACTGAAATAGAAAACAATTCCCACATAAACCATTGCCAATGTGTTTTCTCGTGCTATAGCATGAACTTGAGTAGTTTATCTGAAGAGACCAGGCTGATGGCGGATATATGATTATTCTTAAATTCCTTTTAATACATTTGCTGGATTGCAGCTGTAAGTCATTTGGCAGTGAAATGCCACTGCAGGAATTGATCTTCTCACTGAAAGAGATGCCAGCTCCTTTTACAGTGGAGTTTTAGTTCTTTAAAGCAAAGGTCTTGTAAATCAGAGGTCTCCAACCTTGGCAACTTTAAGACTTGTAGAATTTTAACTCCCAGAATTCCTCAGCCTGAAGTCCACAGGTCTTGAAGTTGCCAAGGTTGGAGACCCCTGTTCTCGTTTATAGATATTAAAAGCTCCTCTTTGGAAACCTTTCTGCTTATCACTCAGGGAGACAACTGGGAGTGAGCCTGCTCTTTCCCCAGGCCAGGTGTGTCTCTCTCTCCCTCCCTGCTGCCTCTCCCTTGGGCAGGACTTTCTCAGCTGTGCCTTGAGAGCCAGCGAGGATGGTCAGCCTGGTTGCTGGGAATCATTTTGGAGCCCCTTTCACTGGCTTGTTGCTCATTTACATTTTGCATCACTTGGCATCTCACAGGTGCTTTTGGAAAAGGCAAGTGGACTTCCTTGGGTTTGGCTTGAAGACGTTTCACTTCTCATCCAAGAAGGTTCTTTAGTTCCTCGGTTCTTCTCAGAACTGAAGAAGCCTCTTGGATGAGAAGCAAAACGCCTTCAAGCCAAAACAAAGGAAGTCCACTTGCCTTTTGTCAAAGCACCTTTGGGACACCTGTGACCTGGATGCCCGAGAATCTCCATAGACATAAATGGACATCTTAGAAAGAGATTTAGC